TCCAAGACACCAAGCTACATTTTCTGGTATCCTCTGTGCCTCCCCAGAGGAAGTTGCGAATTAATTTTTCAATATGTTTCACCACTCCAGATGGTAACAGTGTAGTTTGCATCGAGTAGAGAGGGATACCCGAGAGGACGGATTGCGCAAGAATTCTCCTACCTGCAAAGGAGAGGGATTTCATTTTCCAACCTGCTAGGCAATTTTGGATCCTTGAAATTAGGCCATCAAAGTTCTCATTTTTCAGACGTCCGTGCTGGGAAGGAACGCCTAAATATTTGCCCATGTTCTCTGCTATGGGGATGCTCAGTAGATTCGATATTTCCTGTTGGCGGTGAAGCAGCGTGTTATTTGAGAAATGGATCGTAGATTTATGGAAGTTCACACGCTGGCCGGATTCTTGACAGAAAATTTCCAGGCAGTTTTTGATAACTTCAGCTTGCCGAATTGTGGCCTGTCCGAGGAGAATCATATCATCTGCAAACAGTAGATGTGAGAGACACGACCCGTTCCTAGACAGATTAATGCCTTCCCAGCTACCTGCTTCCTTTAGGCTGTTTATGTGGTGGCAAAGTCTTTCAACGCATAATACAAAGATCAGCGGGGAGATTGGATTGCCTTGTCGGATTCCTCTGCTTGGTTGGAACCAGTCCGAGACCTTACCGTTGAGGGCGATGGCTAGCCTCGGGGAGGTGATGCACTCCATTACGTTCCTTATCCATTCTTGATTCAGTCCAATCTGTTGTAGAGTTGAGCGTATGAATTCCCAAGAAAGCCTGTCGTATGCCTTTTCCAAATCGATCTTAAGGATCATCCAGCCTTGCAAGCCTTTTTTAGATCTCATTGATTTTAGGATCTCTTGATAAACTAAAATATTGTCTGTCGTTTGTCTGCCGGGGACGAAACTGGATTGCTGAGGGCCTATAAGCAGCTTCATAGCTTCCTTTAGTCGTGTCGTTAGGGACTTGGTGATGATCTTGTATGTGGTGTTACAAAGTCCAATTGGGCGGAGCTGCCTCACTGATTCTGGATTCTGCACTTTGGGAATAACAGCTATTGTAGTATCATTACAGCCCTTCGGCAGTTTACCTGTTGCAAAAAAATCAAGAGCAAAGTTAGTAATATCGTCGCCAATGATAGACCACGACTGCTGGTAGAATCCGGCATGAAAGCCATCGGGGCCCGGAGTTTTGAAGGTAGGCATGTCAAACAAAGCCCGTTTAATTTCTTCCTTCACAAAGGGTTTGTTGATATCCTGCCATATCGCCTCGCTTAGCCGTGGGAAGTTTCCCTTAAGCTTGGACTGGACTGGGTAGATGTTGTCATCGGTGAATAGGTCTACAAAAAACTGACTGATATGCACTAGAAGGGCATCTTCCTCTTGAATGATGTTGCCGTGACTGTCTTTAAGGTTGGAGATTTTTCCAGAAGCTTTCTTAGCCTCTGTAGCAATATGATAGAATCTGGTATTCCTATCTCCCGAGGCAATCCAGTCTTCACGCGAACGTTGGTACCATAAAAGTTCTTCTTGAAAAAGAGTCGTTTCAAGTTCTTTCCGTAACTTCCTTTCGAGTTTTAAAAGATCTGGTCTGAATTTATTAGCAAGGCTGCGTTGTGCACCTTGAATCCTTGTAATTAGCCTCTTTTTTCTATGGTACAAGTTACCAAAAGTGTCTTGATTCCACTTTTCCAGTTTATAAGCCAGATTCTTCTTGTTGGTTTCGATGTCTGCCAACCCGTCCCAACTGGTTCTGACCACTTCGATAAAATCTGGGTGAGTTGTCCATATAGCGTTGAATCTGAACTTTTTATCCACCTTCACTCTTGTAGTCAGATGAGTATTAACTAGGATTGGAGAGTGATCCGAGGCCATTCTTGGGAGAATTGTGGTCTCTGCATCAGGAAATAGACATCTCCATTCCGTGTTGCAAAGCGCCCGGTCTAATCTTGCAGCCCTGTAGGAATCTGGATCGAGTCCTCTAGACCAAGTGAATGTCGTCCCGTTGTACCGAGATCTATGAGTCCTTCCCTAAATATCCAGTCTTTGAAGCCCGTCGACCTGTTTGATGAGAAGTTATAATTTTCCGAAACTTCCTCCCTGCTAAGAACCGAATTGAAATCGCCCATGGACAACCATGGTCCATGGAAATCAAGTTGATCTTGGGAAAGCTCCACGAACAGGTTTCTTCTTAGAGCAAAATCTGGGCTACCATAAACGAAGGCTAAGAACCATGGTTGAGAGTTGTCTTGATAGATCCTTAGTACTATAAACTGTGGATGAGTGTAGTGGATTTCTACCATCGTAGAGACCTTCCAGAATACCCAAAGTCCACCGGAGAAACCCAGTGCCTCAACTCTGAGCCATTCTGCAAATCCTATATTAATGCAAATTTTGTCTGCCTGGTTGCCAGATACCCTGGGTTCAAGGAGACAGATGATGTCGGGATTGTGCTCACGAATGTGATGTTTTAAGGCCGGCGAAATGTTTGTGATGCCGCGCCTTGGCAGTTCCATGAGAAGACTATCATTATAAAAAAACAAATGGGGAAAGGGGGCTCAAACAAGCGGGCGGGGAGCCGCCAAACCAACATTGTGACCACTGCTATCGGCAGAGTCGATCATAGCATTTTTCGGAGTATCACAGTCGAAAAAGTCCATCCCGTCGTCCGGTGGGACGTTGAGGATGGGTGACGGGGCATTTGGTGGTGCTGGAGTATCTGGGGGGCGGGAGTGGTGGTAGATAGTATTTCGTGTGATAATCCTACCACTTGACGATCCTCGAACAAGTAAATGTTCATCTTCAGCTGCTGCTTTCCTTGTGATGGCCGGTCTGCCACCTCTACCCCTTTGCTGTCCACGGTTTGCTCTAGATTGGAAGGTGCGGGGATTGGAGTCCGAGACGATAGCTGGGGCTTGGGCAAAGATCTCTGCAGCTTCCTCCATATGTATATTCCTTGGGGTGACAGGCCTGCCGCCCCTACCTCTGTGCGTTGTACGTGTTTCCTTTAGATGACGCGACGGATGGATGATGGGTTCCGGTGCAGTTGTTGCTGCTTGGTCAGGGTTATCAGTGGGCATAGCAGACGGCTGTCCTGGGTCTTCTGAATGGAATGCGAACTCATCATTATGCCCCTCTGGTTCCAGATCGCGCAGGGGGGTGAAGCGTGAATTGAGAGCATGGTTGGTTTGAGCTATTGGAGTGGCCATGTCTTGGGAGTTGTTTGCTGGATAACGCTTGTCTTGGCCACCTCTTGATGCTTTAGGTCTCCTTCGATCCTTTCGTTGTACTAGCATCCAAGCACCAAACTTCTCTGTGTGCAGGTTTGGGGTGACCATAGCGTTCTTGTTGGGAGCCAAGGTGTGGTTGTTGCCTTCTCCCTCCTCCATGGCCGTGGTAGTGTTTTCTTGGGATGATTCTTCGGCTTGGTCATTGCCAGACCCGATTCCACAATGATCTTTTTTATGCCCATATTTGCCGCATTTGAAACAGACTAGATGCAGACCCTCATATTCAATCGGGCAGACTTGGTCTTCTAGTGTAAACTTGGATAATAGGCGTTTGGAGAAGTCAAGTTCCACGCAGACGCGTGCAAACTTACATCTGGAGGCCAAGCTCGTAGTTACGTCAATCTTGATAGGTTTCCCGATTTTGTCACCAATCTTTTGCAAGAAGGCATCGTCGAAGTACTCGATTGGCAAAGTTGGGAATCGAATCCAAACGATCAGTTTCTCTGTTGTATCCAGTTGAGGATTGAAGTTAGGCCGCCATAATTTTACCATTATGTAGTGGTCAAGAATCGTCCATGGGCCTCCAGTTAATGCGTAATCGTAGTCGCTTTGTAGCTCAAATTTTGCCAGAAAATACTCGTAGTTCAGATCAATAAGCTCCAGATGGCCTTCCAGTTTCCAGAGAGTCTGTAGTTGTCGAAGTAGAAAATTATAGCCAATCGTCGCCATGGGCGTCGAAGTCTTGCTTTCTCCTCTTTGGTGACCCTAATTCTTGGGCAGTCAGGGTCATCTGGTTCATCCGGGTATTCATCGTCTGATGCTTCCTCCTCTGGGATACTGTCGTCGATTTGCCTAGACGAGACGAATCCCGTTAAAGTCTGTTTGTACGAAGCCTGTGGTGGGCGATTGTCTTTCGTGGGCGGTGGAGCATTAGGAGCAGACATGGGAGTATCCGGGGGAGCTTCCGGTGAGTGAGTTCCATCTTGGGATAGAGAGTCTCTGCCGCGTTTAGGCTTCTTGGTACTGCGTTCAAGCAGGTCTTGAATCTCCGGTGGCCGGAAACTTCCTTCCGGCGTCTCAGAAGGAGAGAGCATATCGTTCATCGTAAAACTGAAATTGAAATATATGTGCATTTTTATTTTATAAATTATATTTTATTATTATATCTCTATCTCTATCCCTATATATATATTAAAGCATAATGAAGTATGGAAAAAGTTTATTGTGTTCAAATTTATTGGTAAAGTTTTATATTTAATATAATTTGTGTATATATATTAATTTAAACCTCAATTATAATTAATTTGACTCAACACATATAAAGAGGAGAAATTAGATATAAAATAAATATAGTTCTTACATGAATAATCTTTTTCAAATGAATAAGTTTTTTGTGGAGATTTTCGACAAATATCACCTGTTATTTTATTTAGAAGTTTTATTTAAATATGTTAGTTATATAATTAAAGTAGTTATTTCAAATTCAAATTCCTTTAAAAAAAATCAAATTCAAATAATAATACAAGTAACAGTAAACTTTAAAATCAACATAATAATAACATAATTAAACTTTTAAAAATATTAAAAATTACATTGTATAGTTATACTTACATTTTTAATCAAACTAATTCTGAACTCAAGAACGCAAGTACGTTTTTCTGTTTCCACAATCATTACTTTCTTTGCCAATTCAGATGATGTCAAAAATTTAATTGGTAAATTTGTTAAATTAATAATAATTTGTGCATACTAGTTCTTCTAAAAACAAAAGATTAAAGTACAATATTTGTATTATTATAAACACAATTCAATAACATATATATAAACTAAACCAAAATATCCAAACTATGTTGGGGCTCAACACTAGTTCGATCTTACTTAAAAGTAATAATACTGTATTTGTACTACATTGTTACATCATAAAATTAAACAGACAACATTTTGTTGGTAATAGCTAGGATTTGGATTTTAGTGGCTTTTTTTTTTTTTTTATGTCCACACCCGTTTACGATATTCTGATAGTGCCATCAATGGAAAATAACTCCTATGTGATGCATAATGTAACATGCAGTTCTTCATGTACACTCCAGTAATATCCTGTTTTTTTTTTCATACTTATTATTAGGAAAACATTTGGGAAAGAAAAATGAAAAACTTAAATTAGTTGATCTTACTTGTTGAGGGAAATCTCCATCTTCCATTTGTGCATTGATCAATAACTTTGCTGCTCTGTGTAAAGGGGTTGGATCCCTCTCAGCCTGGTTGTTAAAACCGAGAAATAAACACTTGGATTGAATAGAAGAACTTTAGGCATGCATCAAACCACATATAATACGTACCATTCAATTTCATTAAACTACACTAACCTGTCCAGTGTACATAAGTCCTAGCATTGCCCATGATGTTTGTACCAAATTCGTACCGGTCCCTTCAAGCGGTATGTATCTCTGCACCACAAAATTATCAAAACGTAGTAAGCTAGAGAATTTAAAGAATTGTTGGGCAGATGCAAGTAAAGAGTCAAGTCCATCAATTTGTGGTTAGGGGATTGTTGGACGGAGCTGGCTAGTGAAAGACTAGTCCAGCAGCCTGCTTCTTGAAAATGTGACAATACATAAAGAAATAAAGTTGTGTCTTCCCTGTGAAATATGATTTCTGACGTAATGGTAAACAATTATCCTAACAAGTGGTATCAGAGTCAGGTTGATTAGATATACCATGCTTGGGCAAGATTGAAGGCATTCTCCCCAGCCACCCTCTTGATTCTGTTTTGACAGGAAGAAGTGAGCGGCGTTGCAGACGGCTTCACAATTCTCATAACTTTTTCCTGCAGCTGTTAGCCCTAATAGGGCAAAGAAAGTGCCATAGAGAAAGCAAACTCCCCAGTAGCCATACCATGATCCATCTGATTCCTGCTGTTTTTCTAGGTACTGTACTGCCTTTGCAATGGAGATATTAACTTCTTTTGGTCTATAATTTGGATAATGGCATCTGAAGGCTACAAGAGCACTGATTATAGACCCAGTAGGTTCTATGTGCCTAACACATCAAATTCACGCTTATTAGTACAATTATTGTTGCTATATATGGTTATTTGTTATTGCTATTTTATTGGAAGAACAATATAATGGTCTTACTCTTCTTCAACCACAATATCAGCAAATATTTCAGAAGGGTTCAACACTTGCAGGTATGGTTGTGGAACTGGAGGCTCCCAGGTAGCAAAGCCACCACTCTCCGGACTCTTAATTAATGTAAACATACAACAAAAAAATATAATGTTGATTAGCTGTCAATGATAACTACTATGGAAAATAATTGATAAGTGTTGGAAGGAGGTAGGTAAAGACCAAGACTATCACCCTATGATTGGTGAATTGTTGGGTGGTGGCCGGTAAACGGCGTAAAGTGCCAAGTCCAGCACCCAACGTTTCAAAAATTAATCTCTGGTGGTATAAAGAAATGAAGTTGTGCCTTTGCTGCTAGCTATAACTTTTAGCATAGTGACAAACATTTGATCCTATCTAATGGTATCGTAGCCAAGTCACGGGTTGGTGCTGGGAGTGGGAATTATTGGGAGGAGGCGAGGGCTTAATGTGTGGCAGTAAGACCGGTAGTTGTTGGGAGGTGGAATTATTGAGCGGAGGCCGTTAAGGGCTTAGTGTGTGGGGTAAGACAGTATGGTGCTAGGAGGGGGGAGTTGTTGGGCGGAGGCTAATAAAGGTCTTAATGTGTGGCAGTAAGATTGGTTGGTGTTGGAGGGAGAAATTGTTAGGTGGAGGCCGTTAAGGGCTCAATGTGTGAAAGTAAGACCGGTTGGTGCTGGGAAAGGGATTTATTGGGCGGAGGACGAGAAAGAACTTAATGCGTGGTTGTATACTAACTATAGTTTTTGGTGTAATGATAAGTTTTTTATCCTTAGAATATGGGAAAGCTAAGTCTTACTTGAAGATAAAGGCAGACATCTACAGCTTCATACAGGCGTTGAACATCAGGCTTTTCTCCTATAATTTTGTGTGGCATTTCCCCAAGGAGTAGCAGACACTGCAGCAAAGTTCACACAGGCCGGCATTGAATTGTCTTATTAACAGAGAAATTTAATTTTCGTTTAGATACCAAACTAAATTACCTTAAGAGTTTCTGCTGTGCAATCAGAGACAGCCCAACCATGATCTTGATCTGAGAATGTCCATGATCCTTTCGTGACATGACGATACATACTTTTGAAGTCTCCTTTTGGATTTTCTTTTACCTACATAAATACATTTATATTATTGTTATTGTTGGGCCGAGGCCGATAAACAGTCAAGTTCATCAATTGGTGGCTAGGAATATGTTGGATTGCTGGGTGCTGTGAAGTGCTAGCACTCTATCTTTCAAAAATGCAATGACGGTCTATAAATAAATAATATAAAATTAATTACACTTTCGCTACTAACTATAATTTTTAAGCAAATGTTTTGACATACCTGTGATTCTTTGATATAGAAATGGACCTTTCTCAGGCAGTCCCCATATTCTTCTACCATGCCACTGGCAATTATAGCTTGGGTGGCAAAAGCTGCGTCCCAATTCTGACTTCCAAAACCATGCATTGACATTCCATCTTCTGCCAGCCACAAGTAATCAGGAACTCTAGCAAGATGGTATTTTAACTCATCGCCATTTGGATCCTCTGCCCACCAGCACATCATTTGCAAACTCTATACCCAAAAATAATAGAGTTCATTTCATTTTTTATCTTAGATTTATAGGTGATGAGATTCTGCATTTAATTTTTTTTTTTTCGTAATATCCCTATTGGTACTGTAAGTCTGTGACGTTACCATTTTTGGGCATCTGTAAAAAATTCAGTTCTAAGTTTTTTTTTTTTTTTTTTTTGGTATGTCATTCTACTGATGTAGATGTTTGATTTAGTGCAGATGCGCGGATTGCAATTGAATAAGACAAGGGACTATAGCCCTCAATTAAGGATTTTTTTCAAGAATAAAAAATAAAAATATAGTGAATTAACCCACTTTGTATAAAAGATCGAAATGTCATCGTATTTAATTTAACATCATTTAAAAAAGTTTGTTGATGGGAAACAAAAATGGATATGTTACGACTTACAATAATATTAAAAGTGAAATGACACTTGTAAATTTAGGAGAAAAAATGGAATCAACTCAAAATAAAATGTAATAATGATTTCATTCCTATTTAGTTTAATTTATAATATGTAAAATTCTATTACCCTTTGCTATAAATTATAAGGCAATATCAATCAATTTTTCATTAAATTATTCTATTTAATTAGCAAGTAATTTGATCTAATGCATTATATTTTAACCTTTTCTATGCAGCCAATGGTAATATATCTGGTCTCTTCAGCTTCATAGCGCATATATTTGATTGCTTTTCTCATAGCCATTTCTCTAATTTTCTTGAAAGGCCAACGCCTCATGAATGGCTCAGTGCAATATTGAAGGGCGTTCCATAGCAGATCTTGTATGAAACTATGAGGATAGTACAGGTCCTCCTGCATGCATGTATGCATTGGTAGTTATTTGTATAGTTAAATTTTTTATTATTTTCAAAAAGGATATACGGTATTGTAATTTTTGTGTAAATTACCTTACAACAAGCCATGCGAGCCTGGTTCCAATCAATCTGTTCATAGGATTTGACATGAATTTCATTTCTTAGAGCGAGAACTACATCCGTTAATGGTCCACGATATCTCTTTGCATACAAGTATGACATAGGCATGTATGTTGTCCGACAGTAGCACCACATTTTTGCTATATTATATTGTAATGTGAGTAGTTGTTATTGATGATAAGTATTTTATTTTTGGAAAATAATGCTTTTTGTCTCTGAATTATTTCACTTTTTGGAAATTTGGCCCCGGGCCTGTTAATTGATTTGAATATATTTAGTCCGCAAATTATTCTGTTGACCCGGGCACAAGGTGGACACAGGTCCAAATGTTCACAATTTACATACCGGATGTTCACAATTTACATACTAAATGTTGACAATTTATTTTTTTAAAAACTCACAATTTGTATCTACTAACACACAATATTAACATATATGTAATTGATTATCTTATTTTGTATTTACAAGTTACTTTCAAATACAGTAGTAAATTGTATTCACAAATTTCCATCTATAGTTGTTATGTGTTTTGACTTAGAAACACAATTTATATTTTAGAAGTTCACAATTGCAATATTAAAAATACATAATTTATACGTCGTTTAGGACCAGACTCCACCTTGCATATTGGACCCTGATCAATGGTATAACTATCTGATTTAGTCCCTTAACTATCTATTATGTTAAGTTTTAGTTCCTGTTATATAATTATCAAACTCCATTAGCAAACTCTTTTTTAAGAGGTTATTTTTATTATTTAAAATCAATGTCCGTGGCTGAAGTTTCACTCTCTCTAAAGAAACATTACTTTTAATAGTGAAAATTAATTCTAAATAATAAAAATAACATCATATGTTAATGAGGTTTGATAATTACATAACACTATGGATTTAAAATGCAACATTAAGAATAATTGACGGATCAAATTTTCAAAAGTGAAACAATTCAGAGATAAAAAGTTTTATATAAATTATTAATTAAGGATGAACTTAAACAATTACCTGGATGAAATGGAAAATTGGAAGGGAAAAGCCAGAATTCTGGCGAAAGTGGATTACACCCATCCCACTCGTACACTCCAAGCACCTACACCAAAATTTATTTAAGATTTAAATATGGAGTATACAAATTTTATTACAATTGAAAAATCAAGTGATGATTATATATTGTATGTTAATATTGATGTTTGGTTATGTATGATCCTATAATGGGAATAAATGTTTTAAAAATACAAAAAATAAAAATAAAAATTAAGACAATTGATCATAATATAATAACATTCAAAGCACCAATATGAACAAAAAATCAAAACAAAAATCTAAAACCAGTAATCCAAACTTAAAAATCATATTACCAATAAGATTGAATGTTACCCGTTTTTAATTAGGGGATGGGATTCTTAATTGAAGGGGGTAATCAAATCCATAGTTGTGTTTTAAAAGATTGTCAACCAAACACTAATTATGATTTTGATTCTCATTCCTAGTGTATATACCATGAACCAAACACACCCTCAATTTTATTAAATTACTTCTTCTTCTTCTTTTTTGTATTTTTTTTTTTGTTTTTTTTTGTATGCAGCTAAAAATATGTAAAATTTATCAAATTACATTTTTCTTCCATTGCCCTTTGTATTTGCATGTCCCAAGATTATATTGGAAATTTTTTTTTTAAAAAAAGTTTAGATAAACCAAATGCTTGAAGAATTTTTAATCGCTATGCTACTCATTAACATCAAATATGCTAACTAATTTTTTAAAAGAAATTGTTTGTGGAAAACATATTTTCCGAAATTACATTTCCGTGAATTTGTTTGGTTAGAGTATGCACTAAATTACCTCTAGATGTGATACTTTGATGACTTATAAAAAATAAATATAAAAAAAATATTGTTTGTTTTAGATATTACGTTACTCAACCTACATTTATAAACACATTGAGAATGTAAAGTACAAAATGAAATTCATTAGGGACAAAGTAATGAATTTGACATGAAACTCCATGTTTGATATAACAAACATTCAAGTAGAATTCATCACGAATAAAATTCATGAATTTGACATGAAACAGTTATTTATTTTAATTAAATTTGTTAAATTTGAACCTAAATTTTTATAGGTTACAATTTAAGATAAAGAGTTAGTGCCATATGAGCTCCTCCGACTTTTAAATTGTTACCATCTGTGATTCTTCAACTTTCAAGTTAACCACCCCCGGTTCTTCAACTATCAAATTTTATCTGATTCTTCCAAGAGGACCATAACTAGTTAAATTTTGAAAGTTGAAAGACCGACCATGACTAGTTAAAATTTGATAGTTAGTTGAAAGACAATGGATGGTAAATTTGAAAGTTCAAGGATGATGAGTGATTAACTTAAAAGTTTAGGACTAAACGTGACAAAACTATTATACTTGAAGGACCCATATGACATTAAAATAAATTAACCAATAATATCCATTCATAATTACATATTAGGAATAAGGGTCAAATACGCCACCCAACTGCACACCAAAATGTAATTAGGCCATTGAACTAAAAAAGAATGCAATTAAGTCATTGAACAACACAAAAACATGCAATTTAACCCAAAATGACTTGTTTACATATAGTAGCAAGTTACCAATTTTAAAATTAATTTTTTAAAATAATTTTTAATAAATAAATAATTTTAAAAAACAAAAAAACAAAAAATGGCGGCCGGAGACGAACCTCTGTCTCCAGCCATGGAGACAAAGACCTTCGTCTCCATAGCCATGGAGACGAAGGTCTTTCTCTCCATCCATCTCCAGCCACGGAGACGATTCGTCTCCGGTCGGCAGTTTCTGTTTTTTGGGCTGAATTGCATTTTTTTTTTTTGTGTTGTTCAATGACTCAATTGCATTCTTTTTAAGTTCAATGGTCTAATTACACTTTGGTGTGTAGTTGGTGGCCTATTTGACCCTTATTCCTACATATTATAAATATTACGTACCGAAAGATAAATCTTTCCCCAAGAAGGAATTTGAGTGGCACCACCGTGATCAAGAATCCACTTACGACCCCTAGCAATGGCACCATCACCGTCATCAGGTCCTTCTCCAAGCAAACGCAAGGCCACATAGCTAAGTGCTGACCCAATCATAGTACTGTTTCCACCTATGTACATTCCCCATCCTCCATCTCCATTCTATCAAACCAAAATAACATCTCACTTTGGACCAAACAAGAGTAAGGATACAAATTTGTAACCACAAGATCACGAGTTCGAATCTCAACATTCTTAGTTTGAGTCGGTCAGTTATGAGTAACCTAAACTAGTTTACCTCCTTGTGATCATTTGCAGGGTCACTAGGCAGGATTTACTCCGTGCACACCATCTGGTAGTGGTTGCGGGTTTTTGAAATTACAAGATCACAAGTTCGAATCTCAACTTTCTTGGTTTGAGCCTGTCAGCTATGAGCAATTTAAGCTGGTTTACCTCCTTGTGGTCCTTTGCCGGCAGGGTCATAAGGTGAGGTTTACCTAGTGCACACCCTTAGGTAGTGGCTGTAGGCGGATTCTTGCAACCACAAGGTCACGAGTTCAAATTCCAACCTTCTAGGTTTGAGTTGATTAGCTCTGGGCAACTTATACTAGTTTACCTCCTTGTGATCCTTCACTGGCTAAGGTCACAATGCCAGATTTACCTAATACACAGCTCTAGTATAGTGGTTGCGGGTTTTCCTCATCATCACAAAAAAGAGTATATAATAAAAATTCACATAATTTAAGGACTTATATTTTGTTACCATTACTTACTTGATGATTGTAGATATATCGAAGTAATTCTTTTTTATGCTCTGATGTTAAAATTGTATTGATTGATCTGCTTGTGTACAACGCAATTAGCTGCAAATCATTTTGAAAAAGTGATTTTAATTGTTCAATACAACCCAACCCAACGTAACCCAATCATTATTGTGTGGAATGGTTCATAAAAGCTGTATGGACCATATTTTGTATACTGTAAAATAATGTATATTTAGTATAAAAATAATGTACTTTCAATATATTAAAAATGTACATTATATTCAGGGAATATACATTATTTATGTATAGTATATGAGTGTACATTAAACAATATAATATACACTCATTACACAAATAATATACTTTCAATATATTAAAAATTTACATTGTATTCAGAAAATTTACATTATTTGTGTAATGAGTGTACATTATATTATATAATGTACATTCAATACAAAAATAATGTATATTTAATATGTTAAAAATATACTTTTTATTATGGTCCATACAACATTGAGTGGTCCATGGTGCATACAATAATTTGGCAACCCCACCCTCCCATCCACCAAAAGTAACCATTAGAACAAAATTTACCAAGGGAGGAGTGAAAAACAAGCAGCCACCATTCTGAGCTGGCCAGTGTCCATCTCTAGCTTGAAGTGCACGGTTCAATCGGACAGCTTTTCTGACGGCGGTTGTGACAGCCTCGTACTTCACTTCTTCTTCATCTCCTAGTCTTATCGGGGGAATGCTCCACACATCAATCCCACTTTCTTTAATCATCTATAGATAATAAATATATATATATATAATTGGCTAATTAATCATCCAAAATTGGAAATTACTAAAAATAAACTATTGTTACTGTGACCTGCATTCTCATTAACAAATCACCGCAGGCACGGAAACCTTTCTCCCGGTTTTTTCTGAACTCTAGGCGGGCTTTTTCAACCGCTTCTCGTTCTTCCGGCGTACCGGCGCCAGGGTCGTACTCCCATGTTTGTCTGCCAACGTAGTTGTTTGTACTGTACATGTACGGCCCGCCACCTTCGCCAACCTTAAGCTTCCACATCTGATCTTCCACTTCTGCCTATTGCTTGGCTTTTTGGCAGTAGTTGCATGATGAGTAATTGTTAAACAATGGAATATAATGGCAAAGGGTTAGGACTAAATACTTATCACCACCCACATGTGACTTGTCTCTGATATCACTTGTTAGGGTTAAGTATTTATTACCACGCTAAAAGCTATAGCCAATAGTGAAGCCATAACTTTATTTTCTTATATTGCTACATATTTTCGAGACGCTAGATGTTGGACTTGGCCTTATAAACCATTTCCTCTGACGTTGGCCAACAATTCCCAGCCACCAGGTATTAGACTTGACCTTTACTAACCTCCGTCAAACAGTGCTAAACTTGACCCTTCAAGCCTCCGCTCAACAATTATCCTAACTCCATGGTGCTGGACTTAACCTTTAGGGCGGAGGTTGGTGAAAAGCCAAGGCCAAGACATAAACATAGCTAATTAGTTGCGAGCGGAGATAGCAGAGAAAGAAAAGAAAAATTCTTCCATCTCCTAGCTAGCTTGTAACTAACTAACGTATTAAGCTTCACTACGCTGGTTAGTTGAGTTAGATGAATAACTAGATTTCATACATTCACAGTGATAGAGAGAGAGAGCTTACCAAACGGAATGTGAAGAATATAGCTAAAAATAGTGTGGGTTTAACACATTCTTCCGAAGAAAGTAAGAAGGAAAACTGGTAAACCTATTACAATTGCTTAAACGGATTCAACATGATACCAAATTTTCTTATTACACCTACCATCTTTAATGTGTGTCCAATTTCACCAAGAGTTCATTCAAATAATTTATATGGGAGAAATTAAACTGATAATGTGAAGATAAAGAATGTTGTACTACTTTGTGATTCTTTCTATGATTTGTTTAACTACAAAAGTGTGATCCATTACGAACTCATCATCTTTTCAGCTTTTAAGTCATTCTTCAATGACTAACCTCAAGGTTAGTCTTTTGTATTGGAGTAAGTTGATCTTCTCGATTAAAACTTATGTACTCTTTAATAAGTACTTTATTTAATACTCAAAAATAATTTCCTTGAGACTTTCATGCATATATAACATGAAACTTTCTTTCTTTTTTCTTTTATTTATTTATTTATTTATTATTATTATTGGTACTAGAGAGACTTATAGAGAAGAAATATAAGGAGCTAATTACCTCCAAAACAACACTTACAAATACTTTTCTCAAAAGTATTATACGTACTTGATCTTGATCTCTCTTACCCAAATTAATCTTTGGTGCCCAATATAACAACTCTGCACTTGGTTAATACGCACTCAATAGTGATACCTATTTTAACCAGATTGGTTACCTCAAACCACTAAAATTTCCCTTTATACAAGAATCCAAGATATTCAAAATGCATCAATTAAGATTTTAAATATAAATAATAATAAATCCTCATTAGCAGTAAGTCACAAAAATAATGTTGTTTGATGCTACTTTATGTTGAACAACATAATCACAAGTTTTACATGATATTCTCAGAAGAAATTAATCTCATATACAAAGAATATATTCAAACCAGCATTTATTAGAGAATAATTTATTTACACAAATTTCAACAAAACGAATTTAACTATAATAGCTTTAACATTTTAAGGTTATTATCTCAATTTTTTTTTCTTTTATTTTTCTCATTATTAAAAGAACTAAGCAACTCCACTACACTTACATAATATAATGTAAACTAATACAAGTTATTTGCAAGGCTTAGATTTTTAATTTTATGTGAAAATCAATCTCATTTCAAGTGAGGATCAAGTGGCGTTTTAACTAGCCAGCATGATCAACAGTACACCCTACTTCTTAAAACCTCACTGGTCGAATGGTGAAATCGAGGTTTACTTAAAAACTATCTTCCTAGTCAGAGTATTCAAGAATGATGATTCTTACATGCTACCAACAAATTGCAATTAAAGCTTTTAATATATGTTTATTATCTTTATACAAATAATTTCAATACATGATACAAATCTTTAAAATCATGTAACAATAATATATAATTATATATGCATCTCATATTCATTCAGTACAATTCTTGAGCAATATCTATGTCAAATCAATGTGATTTTAATTTTTTCTTGCAATATATACAATATCTTCAAATAAATAACACATTGATGTTTTGAAAGGAATTAAAGATTTTGACATATTTTGCTCATTTACTTTTTTTTTTTTTTGAAAGCCAACCAATAATTGATTGTATTAATGAAGCAAAGCTGCAATAGAGTCAGGAGGGATTGAATCCCATACCATAAACTGGTCCTGAGCAAAAGCTAAAGAAGCTAAAACATGGGCATGTGTATTAACCTGCCTAGAAACATAACTTAACGAACAATAAGTAAATAAAGTCATCAACGACCTACATTCACTAGTAAAAAAAGCTATCTGAGTCTCCTATAAAACACTTTCCGAGTCACCTGTAATTCCAGAGCCTCTGAAAGTGTTTTGCTTTCCGAGGCACCTGTATAAGGTGTCGCGGAAAGCTAAATAGACATTTTTTATTTTTTTTAATACAGACTTTCCGAGGCACCTGCTGCGTGACAGGTGCCTCAGAAAGTATTTATTTATTTATTTTAATTAAGTGTATCCGTGACACCTCTTCACAGAGGGTGTCGCGGATACTCTTTTTCTAAAAAAAAATTATTTAAAAATACAACATTTCTCAAAGTGTAATTAAATTCTGAAAACCAGTAGAAATTCCTAGCCCTACTTCAACTACTATTTGAAAAAACAGAATTGGTTTACTCACTTCAAAATCACATAAGCACAGACTACTAGGGTCCATTAAATCATTAATCTACTAATTAAAATCTGGAACTAATTTTATCATTTTATGTACTTCAAACACTGCAACCTTTTAGTATTTGCAGCAAAAACACACATCTATCTGAAATCAAGCCTTGTTTCACTCACTAGAAATCCAACAAGTCTTAAATTATTACAAAACAGATGACATAAAATACAAGAGTGCATTTCAAAATTCAAAATCAAGCTTACCCCACTTCATCTTCTGATCTTGTAACAATCAATCATGAATCACATAGTTGAAGATTTGCAACAGATGTTGTAAGGAATGGCACTAGCAATCACAAAATGTGAGAGTACTGAGAAATTTTTACATTTATAACAGTTAAACTATTGTCAGAGGACCAAACTGAAGTTTTAAAATAATAGATACTTACTATATGGATCCCTTGCACATCCCACAAGAACACATAATTCCAACATCTTTAATTATTCCGCGAAGCAGAACTCCCTAAATCAAGGCAATATCTTAGTCCCAAAGTAAACATAAGCAAGAGGCCAAATCTGTTATATATTAAAATTGTGGAACCAGTTGGTTTAAGCCCATAAATTGAAAGGGGTGATCAGTAATAGTCTCATGCAAGATAGCAACTAAATCTCCCTTTGGGGTACAATGTGTACACAAAGAGAGACACATATATAAGCTCTCATGAAAAGTCAAGCAAATTATGTCTTAAAAATTGCTGGTCAATTCCCAAATATAGAGCTGTTCTTTATATAAAAAAATTTCTATGCTCAAAGTTTATAAAAACAAGTCCTAATGCATTGTTAAAATCTTCAACAGTTTCCTATTGTTAGCAAAATTGAAAGAAAACATCTTCCGTGAATATAGCCAAACATGAAAATAAAATCAGAGGTTATTTTCAAGACTATATATATATATATATATATATATATATATATATATATATATATATATATTCATGTTAATATATATCACATCAAACAATAAATAAAAACAAAGGTTAATTATCTTAAATTTACTTCAAAATGTGTTAATAAAAAAAAAAAAAAAACTATATTCATTAGCTTCCTATTAACCAATTTTCTCATGAGTTGAAAACAAGCCTCACTTAAGACTTATTTCTAACGGAGGTGTATGTCAAAAGCAGAGAGACCTCACAACTCTGGGCAAATGCATATTAAACCAAATGTAAAGTAAAGAAGCCTAATATTCATCAATTAACAACATTTCATTTCAACCTCTAGAGAAGCTTATAATTTTAAAATCCTTTATCTAATTTCTTTTCACTTCTAATTAGTTCGAGTATTGACACAATATCAACATATTTATCAATGAATTTACACATTTTTAGCATTCCATCTGTTTAATCCGCCAGGTTGCAGGATTATTTTTTAGAAGAATTACAAATTAATACCCAGAATGACTATCCTCTTTACCACCAAAAATCATAATCATATAAGATTAAGGCTCTTGAATGAAATTTGAGGAGCAATGTGATCTAAGTACAGAATCACAAATCAGAAGATTGGATTCAATGTAGAAATATGCGATCTTTTCATTGAACTACTTACTGTGGTATTCGCAGAAATTTTGAGATCATATTCTCATGATTATCACTGCCCTGAACACAAACTTTGCTCAGACTTCCCAGCCTGACCTCGTATTTATCATCAAGAAGGATACTGCTAGATTAAATATCCCTACAAAGCCAAGATGAAGAAAATGATTAACATTAATGAGAAATCATAAACCAACGCAGCCTACCTAGCAGAAGAGAAGAGATGGAATCCGCCGTCATTTCTAACCCACAATTTCCTACACTTTTAACTACTCCGTATTTAATTTCTGCTACCAACAAGCTAACAATCACTTTCATCACAATCACCTTAAATAACACTTGATTGCTCCATCTCTCTATCCCTGTGCCCTATACATTATAACCCTGAAATTCAAAACATAAAAATAAGTCAGCTAACCATCTTTCCAATACTTGTTACAGGTATTATCACTGAAAAAATAATATAGGAGTTACCTTCACTTATATGTTTTAACAGCCTGCTACCATCTTCAATCTTATAACCATTTTCAAGCTAACCGTGATAGAGTTCACTTCCACCACCCCTTGTTCAGCCTCCATTTCCCCTTTTTCAATAGGAGCAATAGGCTGTTTTTCAGCTGCAACTTGTTCAACTACACAGTCATTTTCCAGATTTTCTGAGGTTGGCTTCTCATTCATCACCACTTCTGCTATTTCATCTAGAAGACTCATTGCAGCCTCCTTAATGATTTCATTAGCCTCATGATTTAGTCTTTTTTTCCATATCAAGTTCAAGTTTATTCTCTTTGCCATTCTATCGAGTAGTTACAGGTGCAATATCACAATCTGCTGGAGTCCTCTTAGAGACATTTTCACAATCAGTTGGAGTGCATTCTTTACCCTCTACAGGGCTATACAGCCCTTCATGGTCATTATTACAAGCAGGTTGTGAGCAAGCTTTCTCAGCCTCTCTTTTCAAAATACCAGCACCACCCCCAAACCTCCGGCAGCCTGCAAGGCTGTGTCCAAAGCATCCACAACCTGTACAATATCTCGGCAGCTTATCCACCTCTACTTTTTGCCAAAATCCACTCACAATACCTCCATCCCCAACATATTCAATCCAAATTGGATCAACAAAGGGCTTAGATGCATCAATCTCTAATTTCAATTTGGCTACACTTGGCTTTGTTTTTCTAGTCGTAGCTGCGTCCAGAGACACAACCCGACCTAGAGGCTCACAAATTTTTGCTAGAGCATATGAATTGAATAAATGAATCGGCAAGGAGGGAAACTGAATCCATACTAGTTTCCATGGCGTATCCCTATTGGTCCTCTGCTCCGGCGTCCATCTAGCTAGCCAAAGACGACTGCCAGCTACTGCAATCTGATTTCGAAGCCACACACGTCTACAATCAGCCTCTGATGAGAATCGCAAAAGGATGCACCGTCTATCAAGCGATCCAATGTGTAACTCCCCTTCTGGCCGTAGAGTCTCTCGTAACTCCGTTCTTAAACGGTCCAGCGGGGGTCGTTCTCTTGCAAAGCGTCCCACCAAGGAGAATTTCTCCTCTGTTCTCACCAAATTCGTCCATTCTGAGAGCGAGAACCGCACCGATGGACTTCTATTCAACCAATCAGAGCCCGCAACGATGGAGCTTGTGTGATGGCGACGTGGACCGTGTGCGATTTTTACGATGGAGGTAGTGAAGTGGGGACGATGGTAGCTAAGCGGCTGATGAGAGCGTGGACTGGTAGTGATTGAATAATTTGGCTTTCATCGCGACAAGTTAAGGAAAAAATAATAATAATAAGGGAAAAGGGTCAAATAGGCCTTCGAACTTTAGCTTAAAAGTCAATTAGACCCCTAAATTTTTTAAAGGTGTAATTACACCTATCAACAATTCATTTAGGTGCAATGAAGCCCAAAAACAAGTTAATGACCTGCTATCACAGGTCATTAGGGTTCAGGCCACCTTCCGGTGAATTTTTCGGCAAAAAAAAGTGACCAGCAACCGACCCAGATTTGCCGAAAATTTCACCGGTCACTTTTTTATCGAAAATTTTGCCGGTCACTTTTTTTTTCTTTTTTTTTTTTTTTGCCGGAAAATTCGCCTGAAGGTGGCTTGAACCCTAATGACCTGTGATAGCAGGTCATTAATTTGTTTTTGGGCTTCGTTGCATTTAAATGAATTGTTGAAGGGTGTAATTGCACCTTTAAACAGTTTAAGGGCCTAATTGACTTTTGAGCTAAAGTTTGAGGGCCTATTTGACCCTTTTCCCAAATAAAAATTGACCAGGTATCCGCGGCACCTTTTTGATAGGGTGCCGCGAATACCATTATTATTATTTTAATAATAAAATATTCGAGACACCTTCTTTAGCGGGTGCCGCGGATTCTTGTATTATTATTTTAATAATATAATATCTGAGGCACCTTTTATAGCGGGTGTCGCGGATACCTTTATTATTATTTTAATAATATAATATCTGAGGCACCTTTACTCGGTTGGTGACACGGAAAGTTTTATCATTTTCTTTCTACAACACCTTCTTCGTAAAGGTGTCTCGGAAAGTAGGTCTTGTATTCTCAGTTTTGTACTAGTGATTGGTCCACTGTAACCCAGCATAAGACATTAGAGTCGTTGACTCCTGGCGCACGGCACTCCGGAGTTGCAAACAATCTGTGAGTAGATCCACATCCACTATATTCCTCTCGAGCAGCCAGGATAGAGCCTCCTTACAAGCTAAGGCTTCCGCCATAAATGATGAGAAGCAAGTTGGTAGCCTTCCATTTCGCGCCTCCATAAACGTTCCATTCGGCGAGAGTAGCACCACACCAAAGGTGACCCCCCCCCCCCACAGCGTGCCGGTAACTAGCGTCCACATAACACCTTGGCCTGACGTGTACACCATGTTCTGGTTTGTGCGATGCAGGCAACAGAGGGCGGTGATTGGCTAGACGGAAGGAGTTCATGGCCGCGGACGCTCTCCTCCATAGACCGGCGGGATGATGCAGTGTTTTTTCCCACACGGCAGAGTTGCGGCTCCGCCATATGTGATATAGTACCGCCACCAAGACACCACTCTGTTCTTCTGTCAAAATTGCATGTGCAGCTATTAGCCAGGCAGGGAAAGAATCGGTAACAATATTTGCGATAGGCAGGCCTGTAATATTCCAAACAAGTTTAGAATAATCACAAGCAACTAGTGCATGCATAACATTCTCATGCATTAAACCACACATCTGGCTTGTAGGATCAACATCCACTCTCTCTATAATTAAATTACCAGTGGTAGGTAGGATATCACAAACTGCTCCCCACAGGAAATTCTTCCATTTTGGGGGCACCCTCATTTTCCATATATTAGTCCATCTATCAAACTCCCCTGGCGTATGCTCATAATTACCCATAATACTTCTGTAGGCATTCTTTACTGTATAAATTCCATTAGTGTCCCCAAGCCAATACCATGAGTCGTCATAACCAGGGCTTACAGGGATCCTGAGTATACGATTGACATCCTCAGAAATAAATAAAGCTGATAAGATACGGGGATCCCACATATTAGTCTGATCATCAATTAAACCTGCAACTCTGGCATGTCTCAGCTCCTCAGGCATATTCGTTTGAACGAGAGGACTAGGATCATCTGACAACCACGGGTATCCCCAGATCAATGTTGTTTTACTATCCCCAATCCGTCCATGTACCCCTGCAACAACCATATCATGAGCAGCCATAATACTCCTCCAGACATAACTTGGGCAATTGCCCACCTTGGCATCAATAAAAGAGGTAGCAGGAAAATATCGTGCCTTATAAACTTTTGCAACCAGGAAGTTGGAGTTTGTGAGAAAACGCCATGCTTGCTTCCCCAACATAGCCAAATTAAAGCTTCTGAGATCCTTAAATCTCAAACCACCAAATTTCTTAGGGATACATAACTTATCCCAGGCTTTCCAGTGAATTCCTCTTTCTCCACCACTCCCCCACCAATATCTGTTCATAGTCCTCTGAATTGACAAACAAACTGTGTCAGGTAGTAAGAAAACACTCTTTGAAAAAGTTGGCATTGATTGCGCCACACTTTTCAACAAGATTTCCTTACCTGCCTATGAAAGCAATTTCTTGTTCCACGATCTAATCCTTTGTTTAATTTTATCCTCAATATAGGAGAACACCACTCACTTATTCCTTCCAATAAAAGAGGGCAGTCACAGGTATTTCCCAAAGTTGGGCGCCTGGTCTACCTGCAAACATGCTGCTACCATTTCCCTGTCTTCTTCCTTGGTGTTCTTACTGAAACAGATATTGGATTTATGATAATTTACCTTTTGCCCAGACAACTCCTCATAACGTTTCAAACACTCTTTTATCACACTTGCCTCCTGACTATTTGCTTTAAAGAACAACAGGCTATCATCTGCAAAAAGTAGAAGTGATACCGGGGGGGGGGGGGGGGGGGGGGCACACACCACTATACATCCATGTATAGAGCCAGCCATCTGAGCTCTCTGCAATAACATAGACAACCCTTCTGCACAAATAATGAATAAATATGGGGAAAGCGAATCTCCCTGTCTGAAACCCCGGGTCGGTATTAACCTGCCACTGTTAACACCATTTATCAAAATACTATACTGAACTGTAGTAACACAATGCATGATTAGCTTAATCCAGCGATCATCAAACCCCACAACTTCCAACATTCTCCGCAGGAATTGCCATTCCATTCGATCATAGGCCTTATGTAACAACCCAAAATATTTTTCCTAAATTCCTATTTTATAAAGTTTCGAAATAAATTATTTTATTTCTACGAAGAATTATTTCCTAAAAATTTTGAGCCAACAGTCTATTCGAAACGAGCTCGTAATTATTCTTATCAGTTTGCTATCCTAAATGATTTGATTTTTGAGCCAAGTGTGATTTATTGTTGTCCAAGATATTAAGCCCAACAAATATTCCTTGATCTCAATGGTTTAGCCCAAATATTTTTACTCAAACCCAAGTGTATGCCCAAACTATTATATTTTGTCTAGCCCAATTTATAGATACAACTTTGACCAAAATAACAACCCTAGACCTAAATATCTACTCATTGTATAAGACATGTATATGTAGGAGTGGGAGTTTCGAGTTTCGGTTCGGTTTTTTTCGGTTTCGGTTTCGGTTTTTCGGTTTTAAAAATGTTAAACCATTCGGTTTAACATTAGGTTTCAGTTCGGTTTGAAATGGTTCGGTTTCGGTTCAGATTTAATTCGGTTCGGTGTTCGGTTCGGTTTAAGATCCCCAAATTTCAACATTTCCTAATTTTTCGAACATAATACCAAACAATACATATTCACATAATCCAAATTCAAACTCTAAACATTATATAATAAAATAGCAATCCAAAGTTCAAACACAATACTAAGTACTAATTACCAAACATCAGTTAACGTTTTTGCACAACCGACTCTTCAGTTGGTTCAGTTGGAATATTTTTATTGATAAGATGAATAATCATCTATCTATATAGTTGATATTAAAAGAACTAGTGTCAATTACTATATAGTTAATTTTTGGACACAATCTGTCATTGCTAGTGCACTTGAAATATATTCCAGTACTAGAAAATAATTATAGTACACTGGAAATCAAAATTAGAATGACTGTAAAGCACATTAAATTTATATAAAAATATGAAACTAAGGAAAATACTGAATATTGTAAATATAACTCAAGTTAGATATAATTGTGAGGTAAAGAACAATTGCGACAAACAACAAAAGTGCAATGTAGACAACAAGCTATAAAGAAATCAAATAAAAAATTTAAGGTTCGGTACTAGTAAGAATGAGAACTGAACGGCGAAGCAGGCATCAAGGAACTTGGATTTACTTCTTTATTATTATTATTATTATTATTATTATTATTATTATTATTATTATTATTATTATTATTATTATTATTATTATTATTATTACTATTATTATTATTATTTATTAAAAAAATTATATAGCATTCGGTTCGGTTCGATTTTTGCCAAACCGTTCGGTTTCGGTTCGGTTCGGTACTAAATCGTTCGGGTTACAAAATCCCGAACCGTTCCGTTTTCTATTATTAATTCGGTTCGGCTCGTTTCAGATCGGATCGGTTTGGTTCTGATAAACCGAACAGAAGTGCCCACCGTATGTATATGTATGTTATTTTTATCCATCAGACGAAGGAATTACACAGTAGCCAAGCACCCCCTTCTCTCTCTGCTTCTCGTCTCTCATGTCTCTCGTCTCCCTCTCGCTTTAGCTTAGGTAGCCAGTGGAAGCAGCGGGGAGGTGGTGCGGTGAGAGTGACCGGCGACCTTCCCTTCGGCGAGTCCCAACCAAGAAGCAACAGCTCCGGCTCTCTCTATCTCTCTCATCCCTTAGTCTCTGTTCCCACTCCCTTCATTCTCAATGTCAAACGCAGAGGCGGCAGAGCCTGAGCAGCGGCGGTGAACGGCGTGGCAGTCTCTCCTCCTCCAGCGACCTCCCCTGCCTTTTCAGCGCATTAGCAGGTCCGACGGAGAGCAGTCCTGGCTGTGGCTGGCGGCGGCGTGGCTAGAGCAGATCAGGTGAAGGAGCAGCTACGGTGGCCTTGTTTCCCTTCCCGCGAACAGCGGACGGAACGAATCTGGCGTTCCCTTTCTCCGGCGAGATAACAGACCGGCGGGTGGTCCTTCGTCGAGCAGCACCGACGAGCGGAAGTGGCTGGCGGTGCGGCTCTGGCAGTGGAGTTAGCTGGCAGTGTTGGAGTTACGGTGGAGTTGGCTGGCGTTCCCTTTCTCCGGCGAGATAGCAGACCGGCGGGTGGTCCTTCGTCGAGCAGCAGCGACGAGCGGAAGTAGCCGGCGGTGCGGCTCCGGCAGTGGAGTTGGCTGGCAGTGTTGGAGTTACGGTGGAGTTGGCTAGCGTTCCCTTTCTCCGGCGAGATAGCAGACCGGTGGGTGGAATCAAGTGTTTAGCTTTTGGAGCTCGGTTAAAGGTATAACCCCATGGATTCCCAATCTCTTTTTGACTCTGTGAAGTCATTGTTATGAAGATAGAAATGTGTAGAAATGCTAAAGTATTGTATGTTTGAGTGCTCCGTTGTGGTTATCCGTGTAGTGGCCGGGCCCTTATGGCTCAGCTACGTGTCGTTTCGGACCAGGTGTTACGCGCCCTTGTGGCTCGGCACTTCGGGATCGTCTCGACGCACTTATGGCTTTGATTTCGTGGATTTTGGTTTAGAAATGAGCATGTTATGATAGAAATTGTATTGAATTGTTTATAGAAATGTGCAAGTGAGTTGTATTAGACTTATACTACTTATTTGATCTTCCTAATGCTATTTGAGTGTTAAATGGAGAAGCATGATCATTAAGTGATTAATTTGTTAGAAAAGCATGATTCAAGAGTGTTTTATGTCTCAAGAGATTATAGTCTATTGATTGTGGAAGTATGCAAAGAATGTTGAGAAGTTCACAGTGTTTGAGAAATGCTTTGCTTTGTGTCTAATGTTATACTTGTATTGAGTAGAGAAGCATGATCACTTTGAAAATATGATTTATTATGAAAGCATGGCTAGAATGTGATATTTGAATAATGAGAATTGAAGCATATTTGTTAATAGAAATGTATAGAATTTGCTATGTTGCAAACCGAGCATGATATTATATCCTTGAGTATTTTATGGTTTATATACATGGTTTAGAGGCATGTTATAGAGTATTTTGCATCTCACATATGCCATATTTCAAAAATGCATAAAGGGACCAACGTGAGCCCAAGTATTACTTTCAAAAATCCATAAGCATGTGGTATACCATTCTTTGATGCATTGAGAAGTTGATGAGTTGTTGCATGCATGAGATTGATGCATGAGAGATATATTTATGTATTATCTAAATCGGTGAGGTTTTGGAGGATCCCGTTTGGACTATATCCTCTCGGATGATTTTATGGACATTGTGGTCCCAGTATATGTAACGCGGCGTATTCCCACGTTACGAGGTTGGAAACTACTCGCCAGGCTTGGAATCCTAGTAGGGGGTGTGCACACTGAAAGTTCAATACCTAATTCTACAGCACGAGAACCACGAGATTGGTTCCGTAGACGGTAGGAGATATTCGGTCGGACTTACTCTAACAACCCAAAATTTCATTTTATAAATACGGTATTAAGAAATTTCAAAATAGCCTTTTCACTCCATTAATATTTTTTGCAATCAATCGGTGTTTGAATAAAATATTTTCGTCACATTTTAAATTAATTCGACACCAAAAATGGATTCTATTCAAAAATTCCTAAGCTTTCGAGTACTTCGCGTACTAAGATTTAAATCGAGAAATTTATCTGAGTGTGACCGGGAGAATTCGAAAAGATTTTAAACAAGTGTTAACCCAAATAACTTTTTGAGAAAATTCATTTCCAACCAAAAGTATTCAAAGTTAACATTTCTAGTCTAGGGTTCATGTTGCAAGGTGGACCAAAAAGAGCATTTCCTTTGTTTGATCTTTGCTAGAACTACCCCAAAAATTACCATTTTGCCATCCACCAATCATGAGAGAATCTCCTAGGGTTTTGCACCCTATAAAACCACACATCTTCCTCTTTGAATCCCTGATCTCATTCCCTTGCCTCTCCCAATTCTTGTCTGCTAGAAAGAAGAAGACTACACATTAAGCTCCACACTCCACCATTCATTTCCTCTCTTTCTTTTGATGCCTTCTTTGTCTACAATCTTTGAGTTCTCTTAGGCTTAGTATGTTGTTGTTGTTGGGGTGTTTAGGTGGTGAAGGAAGTGGTGGAAGTTGAGTGGAGAGGAGGCTGAGATCCAAGCAAGAAGAAGAGGCTACTACTACTACACAGAAGGCTTTTAACATCGGCTATTTAAGGCCTTTAACGTCGGCTAAAAAGCGACGTTGTTCTGGGCGACGTTGTATAGTAAACATACGACGTCGGTTAAATAAAAACCGACGTCGTATATTTTTTTATTTAATTTATATAACTTATAACGTCGGTTATTATGAAATAACCGACGCTTTATGTATTTAATTTTTAAAAAAAATTAACATAACACGTCGGGTTTTTGTTAAAAACCGACGTGTTATGTTATTAAAAAAAATAGAAAAAATTATGCCAACAGCCAGGGGACTGTAGGGATGCTAAAATCATGTTTCTTCTTGCGTCTTATGTGTTTGATGTGGAAGAAACCACATGATGAACTCGAGAACATGCTGCTGCAGCAGCATTACAACAACAAAACATAGAACTTCTAAGCACAAGGTATAATGTATAAACACACCATATTGTAAAATTTCTTGTACATTTATCATTCAAAAACTCCATTTCGTCAAGGATTCAATAACTTCTCGTCGAGTGACATAAGTTTGTAACATTAATATTTAATACATGATACTAGAATGTAAAGGTGAAAATTTTACATATTTCTCCACAATGTGAAGTGACACAACACGGTTACACACTTTCAAATAGAGCTTCATAAAAGAAGAAGCAGAAGCAGCCTTGGATGTACATTATTCAACAAAAACTAGAGAAGTGGGGAAGAAAACAAAACTGTCACACACTTACAAGCTCCACATGATCAAACAATTAAAGATTTCAAAAAAAAAAAAAAAACAAAACAAACAAACAAGGATACTCCATAAAACATGCATCCATGCCATTGGTCATGTGATTTAGAATAAAATTAATTTTGAAAATTTGATTTTTTTTCTTTTCTAAATATAATGTACTGTAAGGAGAAATTTAGGGTGTACCGAGTCTGTGTTTGCTTGAGTCTTGTAGTTGTGCAGGAAACGAGTTAATTCCCGCATTGACAGTTAGGAAGATCCAAACAAACTGCATAAAATATCAGAGTAATGAAATTAGGGAGAGAAGAATATACTAAAAGGATGTTAGTAGGAAGCACGAAGAATATAAAATGAATGCAACAATAATGTTCATCACATGTAATCTTGCCAGGTAATTAATATTATACCTAACAAGAAGACATATTCATTAAGATCATAAGCTACCAATGTATACCATCCATAATAATTAGACAGTTAGGGTTTAGATTAATAATATGACAGTCTTCTTCAGAAAGCTGGGAATGGGATTTCTTTGGGACAACAGTCTTCTCCTTCAAGGGTTAGTTCAGTTATAAATAATAATGATAGTCCATTGACTTTAATCAATGCGAACAGGTTGGTTCTGATCATAGTTGAGACTTTATAATAGTAGTTCAGTTATAAACTCTAATAACACAGATCCCCTACTTTACTGGTATCCTTTTACTAGTTTAAGAAAATAGCTTTCGGGCATATTAGAAACCACATGATGAACTCGAGAACATGCTGCAACAAAACAGTTTAAAGAAATTATTGCTTCCCAACAAAGAGAATTGAAAGGGTTTTCTTATGGTAAATGTAGATGATTGGAATCGACACTAAAGTAATACACTCTCTTTACTTTCTTTTTTTCTCAAATTATGGAGTGGGAAAAGATGAAATACTATCATCCATCAACCCCTGTCTATCAAGCCACTCATACGATATTATGTCAGCAGATATCAAAATGGAAAGAGCATAGTAGCAGATTATCCAGGTCGCTTGGTGATGAAACAAGCCTCAGCCTTGCACATTCCTTTACACCAATGCACAGCAGCTCAGCTCACTGGAAAGAAGAATCAGAATCAGCCCTGAGGGCTTTCTTGTCTTTTCACCTTTTTGGCAGTTATAACTGCCATTCCCTCCATCTATCTAGCATATAAGACTTCTTTTGTATCGTTATTGCTCCTGATCTATTCATTTCACTCAGATTCAATACACACTCACCTTCTCTCATGTAATCTCTTCAGTCAATTCCATCTTCTTCCATTATGCACTAAGTTTTCCATCATGGTATCAGAGCATCACCGGAGCTACGTTGCGGCAGTCGTGACGGGGAACGGAAATGGAGACGATGACTTTGCCGATCCAGCTACTTCAAGTCAGATTCCGACCAGTCTGAGCAGCAGCCAACGAGTAGAAGAGTTTGATGACCCCATGTACCTGCATATAACAGAGAATCCAAATCTCGTTCTTGTTTCTCCTCTGCTATCGGAAGTCAATTATGCCTCCTGGAGCAGATCCATGGAGATCGCTCTTGAGGTCAAGAACAAGTATGGATTCGTCGATGGAAGCATAGCTAACCTTGGAGAATCAGATCCTAAGTATGCTATTTGGAAGCGGTGCAACAATATTGTGTGTTCATGGATATTCAAATCCATTAATCCCACAATTGCAGAAGGAGTTCTGTATTTTGAAATTGCAGCTGACATTTGGAGTGTTCTTAAAAAGACATATTCACAAGTGGATGCCCACAGAATTACAGAGTTGCAGAATGAGATTTATAGATGCACACAAGGTAACCTCTCAATCAATGAATATTTTACCAAAAGCAATGCATTATGGGTTCAGATGAATGCTATGAGGCCTATCCCTAAGTGTGAGTGTGTGCCAAGGTGTTCATGTACCCTCATGAGTAAGATTCAGAAAGAAAAAGAGGAGGATCAAATAATTCGTTTTCTGGATGGGCTCAATGATGAATATGAGAATGTTAAATCTGGAATATTGGTTATGGATCCTATTCCCACTATGGAAAAGGTCCTCAATATGTCTTTGAAGATAGAAAGGAAGCTTAAAGGATCTGTGAGTTCCAGGAATCCTGAACTAATTCAAGCCAATGCAGTTCAGAATGCTCAAGGTGATTTCACAGAAGAGCAGGCTGTTGTAGAAGCATCAACCTCCTATAACAAGAAGAAATTCAACAATAATTCAGGGAAAAATGTGCCTAAGTGCACTTTATGTGGGATTCTTGGACACACTATTGAGAAATGTTATAAGAAACATGGTTTCCCTCCCGGATGGATCCCAGGTTACAAGTCCAAAGGGAAACAGACTCAGGATTCACAGCAGAATTCAAATGCATGTGTTAGTCAAATTGCAGATGTTGTCATTTCTGTTGATCAGTTTCAGAAACTTCTAGTCATGTTGCAAGATCAAAATCAAAGGGGCAATTCCCTCAGCAATACAGCAGCAGCCATCTCTAATACTGGAAATAGGCCAGACTCCAGAAAGCCTATGCAGGAGCAAAATGAAGGCAAGTTTGTCTCTAACCTTCATCTCATTAATACCATCAATTCTGTTGATAATTGGATCTTAGGCTCAGGGGAAACAGACCATATTACTTGTTCTTTGGATTATTTTGAGTCTTATCATGCAGCTCATGGGATCCTAGTTAAACTTCCTAATGGAGAAACTGTTAGTGTCACACACATAGGGGATGTCAGGCTACATATGAATATATTGTTGAGAGATGTGTTATTCATTCCATCCTTCTCCTTTAATATCATCTCTGCTAGCAAGCTAACCAAATATTCAGATTATGAGATCATTATTGGAGCTGACTATTGCAAAATTCAGGACCATCATTGAATGGTGGATGGTTTGGCTAGGCAAAAGGATGGACTGTACCTGATGATCACTACTACAGAAACGGTTTTAACGTCGGTTAAAATACCCCATTTAACGTCGGTTATCTTTCGACGTCGTCTTAAGAGACGTCGTAAGTAAATGATACGACGTCGATTGAACAACCGACGTCGTATGTAATATATGGCTTCGGCTTTTACCTAAAAGCCGAAGCCGTATATATATATATATATATATATATATATATATATATATATATATATATATATATATATATATATATATATATATATATATATATATATATATATATATATATTTTAAATAATTTACATACGACGTCGGTTTTTAGGTAAACGCTGAAGCCGTATATATTTATTATTTTTAAAAAATAAAAAATAATTAGCCTACGGCGTCGGTTTTTAGGTAAAAATCGCGCCGTATATGTATATATATATATATATATATATATATATATATATATATATATTTAAAAAATAATAAATATATACGGATTCGGCTTTTACCTAAAAGCCGAAGCCGTATATATTTATTATTTTTTAAAAAAATAATAATTAACCTACGGCGTCGGTTTTTAGGTAAAAACCGACGCCGTATGTTCTTTTTTTTTTTTTTTATTTATATGCGTTTTATGTTTTCTACCCCACCTGTATCAATTTTCAAACCCTGCGCAGCTAGCAATTTAACATTCAACATCAACTAATTTATTAAACTAATTCAAGCTACTAAACATAAAACTAATATAAGTACCACAATTCAACAAAACTACTAAACATTAAACCAATAAACATAAACTAATTTTAAACGTAAAGTATCAAACTATTAAACATGAAACTAATATAAAGAACACAATTCATTAAGCTAATTCAAGCTACTAAACATAAAACTAATATAAGTACCACAATTCAACAAAACTACTAAACATTAAGCCAATAAACATAAACTAATTTTAAACGTAAAGTATCAACTAAGAAGCGTTTTATTAACCCATTCATCAATAAGAAGCTTAGACCATTTGTCTCTAACTTCATCAATCTCTTTTTTGTTGTAGGGCAATCTTCCTTGTCTTTCCAAAGCCTACAAAGTTCAAAAGAAATAAAATTAATAAATAAGCAAGTATTTTTAAACATTTGAAGCCAAAAGATATATTAAGAAATTACTTGCCTTATCCATTCCTTTGCTTAGATTGTTGGAAACAATTTCCAACATGAACTTCATCACATAATAACCACATTCGGTGGTTCCCTTTTGTATAGCACACTACATTGAATTACAATAAAAATAAAATAAATTAATAAAAAAAAACAATAAGTTTGCATGTTTTACAAAGTGAATGAAGTACTTACCGAACATATAGTCCATTTTGGTGAACGATTTTGTTTCTTTCCACTCATCATGTTTGTTGCAGTCATACACCTATTAATATAAGACATAGAATATATATAAATACTTGGCATCACTAGTTTAATGATAACTATTAATTAATTATATAAATTTACATACGTTTCCATTATATGTTTAATGTCTTCACGCGGCCCATGACCAAGTGAATCAAACCAAAAAATTTCATTTAGTCGAGGACAAATCGCCATCAACATCCAATGCTCACTACAAATAAATAATTTATTAGTTTTAAGTGAATATAATATATAATAAAAATATATTATATATAAGTACTTTTATTTAAAACGTAATTAATACTTACTTGAGAACATATAGGGCTAAGTATACCAATTTCTTCACCGACTGCATGGTGGCATTTATATATGATTTCCTGTCTTCCATATTATTCATTTGTGGTTGAATCCAATATGGATCTAGGAAGCCATACGTGTCTTTTGATGCCAACTCAAAACTAATGTAAATACCCCTATTCACAAACACAACCAATTATATATAGATTACCAACTATATAAATATAAAACTATTATGAATAAATAATACTAAAGAACTTATTACCTCATAAAGAACTGAATTAGAGAAACATCGATGGTCTCCATATTTAAGAAACGCATTATCTCATCACTTAGAAGGTGCAAGTCATAGTCAATGTTGCCCATAATACCATGAGCCACATGGACCACAAGAGGGTGTTCAAAACGGCGAGCTATTGAAAAGGCCTTTTTGCATCCATCAGTCAAAGAATCATCATCAGGTATAGTGAATTGTTGATGAACGGATTGCACACCCGAATGAAAAGTCAATTTGGTCTTTTCTTTTGACTGTGAATTATAATACAAGTAAGAATTATTATTTTAAAAAGTAAATTACTTACTATTTTAAAATCGAAATATTTTCAGTATACATACCACATCAACTTTAGTACATAACTCTACCAGCTTCTTTGGCCAAGCAATAAAGTGT